TGATCTTTAAGGGAAATCTGATTTGCATGTTTCTATATACATATAAATAGATATCATATTTGAACTTTAAAATTTTCCTTTTTTCACATATATTTATGTAATATATACAACTTAAATAATAATTTAAAAGTAACAATATATTGTAAAGATTTCATTTCAAATTTAAACAAAGAAAGGAATCAAATCGGTAATAAAACAAAACTAAAATAACAAAATATATAAATAAAAAAATTTACTAATCATGGTAACAAGTTTTTAAAAGTACCACAATATTCCATTCACAATAATATTCCATTCACAATTTCACTAATCATGTATCCGATTACATTCAAAGTTATTCAAAGAATGAAGTCAAATATATCTATATAAAATAAGAACAAGGTTAAATCATTTTTCGAAAGAATTTCCCGCCAAAATCATTAATTAGATACTAAAAAGGGTAAGTTATATATATATATATATTTATTTTTTTTTTCAAATAAAAAAAAAACATTAAATGCACTGCCATAATCTCGATTGTTCTTTGTCATACTCGGTTTTTGTTGTAAGAAATTTTCGAATTTTGTGTTGTGAACATTTTGAATCTAATTAAAATCAATTATTTTATGGTAATAATTTTTTTGAGTGTATTATTTTCCTCATAGAAGATTTTTAAAATCACCGATTAATAAAATGAAATCTCATTCTAATTATGGACAATACATATATTTTCCGAATGATTTTGCATGGAAAAACGATGACTTTTAATAATGTATGACATTTTTCTTGACGAATTAACATTTTATGATTAGTTGACAAATCCTCTATGTATCATAACTTATATTAATAGTCTTCTATTTATAAATTTTACCAAAATAATTACAGTCCGTGCATCGCACGGGGTACGTACTAGTATTATGAATTAATGATATTTTTTTATATTATTGTATGCATTCCCTCTTCCACATATATTTTTCAACACGTTGTTTGGACAAAATTTTTATGAATTAATGATACTTTTCTTTTGGACGATTTTTTTACACATCTTAATTAATTATATGTATCTATAAATATACGTTGTTTGGACAAAATTTTTATATGAATTAATGATACTTTTCTTTTGGACAATTTTTTTACATGGATTAATTATATGTATCTATAAATATGTTGATATATATAAAGTATTCGTAGACATGTTTCCCTTTTCAACATGTTGTTTGAACAAATTTTTTACCTATATTATGAATCAATGATATTTTTTTATATTACTGTATACATTCCCTCCTTTGCATATATTTTTCAACACGTTTGAACAAAATTTTTACACATTTTATGAATTAATGATACTTTCTTTTGGACAATTTTTTTACCCATCTTATAGATTAATTATATGTATCTATAAATAGAATTAATGATACTTTCTTTTGGACAATTTTTTTACACATCTCATGGATTAATTATATGTATCTATAAATATGTGGATATACATGTTTCCTTTTCAAAATAGTTTAGAAAAATTTTAGGTGGCTTTACATTTTTCAAAAATAATATAGAAGATTTTAAATACTTTTACATATGTTATATAATTTTTAAATGTTTATAAATTTTTAAACATACGTGTTTTATGTTCTGTATACAAGATAATTCTATATTTTTTACAAACAAATTGATAGTATATTCATTTTGGATTTCTAAAACTTTTTAAGAATTTAAAAAATATGGTGTATTTAATTTAGACTTAAAATCTTGGAATATTTATTTGAAAATTTAAAAATTCTTAAAATATCTTTAAATATTTAACTTATTTGAGATTAAAATTTGTTAGTTCTTTTTAATCTTTTTTAAGATTAGCTATGGTGTAAAAGAAAAAACATTAAACAAAATTTCACGCTAAATCTCACATTCACGCTTAAGATTTCATAGTATTCCTCTAAAATTTAACCATCTTAAAAGATCTCAAATCTTAAAGAAACAAACTCAAAGTGCCTCATATTATTTAATATTGTTTACCTATATCTTTAGTTTATAATTATTATTTAATATTATTTACCTACGCAAGGCCACGTACTAGTACTAGTAATAATTATAAAAGACTAACTTAAATCATGATGGATCAAGTAAATCGCATGTGCAGTTTAATAAACTAGTAATTACCTCAAATGAACTTTCTCCCTTAAAAATCTCACAATAATAAAATGACCAAGTAAGCGAAACCCCCCACAAATCCCACCCTCCAAAGTACCCCCAATTCCGGCGACAACGACTTGAGCTTGACTGCCTTCTTCCCCACCTTCCCACCGGAACCATCCACCTCCACGTTGCCGCTAACCACCACTCCCTCCCTCTTTGTGTTCCAAAACAAGATCTTGTACCTCACCCTCGTTGCCAACCCCACCTTGAACCCCACCCTCGACCCGTTCGTGACCACCCACGGCGCCCCTTGGGCCACCACAGCTTGGTTTTTCCGGCGAGCCTTCTTCCCGTGGCCCTGGTAGAATCCAGGCACTGACCCATTGGCGATCCGGAGGTTGGACCCATTTGTGGCCGTGTAGAAGAAGGTGAGGTTGATGGTGTCGTAATGGACGCCCTTGTCGTTGTTGTTGTTATCGAGCTTGAGATCGAAGAGAATGGTGTGGTTTGTAGTGGAGTTTAGGGAAGTGTTGAGGGCGGGGACATAAAAGCGTTGGAGGGAGCAGGTGGGGCGATGGGTGCGCAGGCTCAGCCACATGAAGAGGGCAGTGAAACCGGAGGTGATGATGAAGCTGCAGCAGCAGCGGGACACGCCACCGCCTTCCGACATTTTTTTGTGTTTTTGCAGCACGCCTGAAGAGCTACTCACTATTCACCCCACCAGTTACATCTCTGAAAATTTTTCAAACACGTTAAGTGAGCCAAAAGGACACAGTGGGTAGTGGGGATTGAATGCATTATTTTATCCCAAAAAAAGAAAACATTTTTTAATTTATCATAGCGAGAACTCGGTTTGCAAAACAAGTTTTACAAAAGAACATGACCAATAATTTTTTTATAACAGCATGAGAACTAGCACTTGACGTGTTAGAACAAGTTTCATGCAATGACAAACATATCGTAACAAATCACATAATCAAACTATTCAAATATGCAAATCAAGTTCATGTACATTATGACATTATTGACATATCACACACTTCATTTATGTTCGATCTCAAATAAAGCACCCCCGAATGTTGATAGGACAGAGCTTTCTCCTTTCATCCTTATTCCTCCCAAGTGGCTCGACGTCTCTTTGGCTAGGGCCGAAACACAGATGACGCCACATTCCGGAATATACTATTTTTTGACCCATTCCATTAGATGGCTCCATTCAGACCAGAACATGAAAATAGACCGTACAAAGTCGGATAATAACCATTGCCTGTCTGCTCGATTATGAACCATGATACGAAAGCCGATGCACGTCGAAAACATATTAAAACTTATTCATTCACGTGTTGAACATAAAAAACCAAATAATAAGTCCAAGATACCATATTCATGAATCGTATAAATTCAAAGATAAAATAATGTCAATTGTAGATATCAAGATACATGCTCATAAACAAATTATTTTTTCTCTTTAAACAAGTAATTTTTCATAAAATTAAGTTCCTTGTTGAATGCGGAATTTTCATAAAGTTTTTACCCACATAAAATGCATGTCATGCAACAATTCAAAATTCCTAGTAATATAGGTAGTTTCAAAGTTTTGACCTACCTAAAAAGAGTGTGATATGCAAACCTTAATGGAAGAGTCAAATATAGGCTTGGTTCAACATATATCAATGTACTTAGAGGACCCAAATGTCAGGAAGGAAAGGCACAACGCAGAACCCAGAACACATACGATAATTTTGTGCAATATTCATATTTTCACCACGATTTATACCATAAAATAGATATCAAGTTGAATCATTAGAAAATGAAAATATATGATACTGGACTAAAACTCTAACAAAGACAGAATTAACAAGTACATTACAATGGTGAAAACATTGCAAAACCGAACAACCTTGCAGCTGTGAACTTGACAGCAAACAGCCTGGTGCCACGTTCTTATTTTAAACATAACTTCAAATATAAAACACATACTGAAGTGATTCCAGCTCACAAAACAATCTCAAGACACACATCTATTACTTTTATTCAGACATCCAACACAGACGAGGGATTTAAAGGGTGGAAACCACATCCAAACACAAGAGCACTGCTGATGCAAAAAACTGGACAAGTAACTCATTCGTAGTCATTTCCTAGAGAAAAATATTTTGGATTGATTGTTTGAAATTATGGGAAGAACAGAAACAGAACTACAACTCTTGTGAAAACTTGGAACACTTACAAGCAAGTTACGAGGACGAAAAATGGTTCAAAGTTGAGCAGCAGCCAAACGGACAGAAAACAGCAAGCACAGTGTGTGTATTTTGAACATAACTTTTGATAGAAAATAGGTATCCGAGCAATTCTTGTTCCTACGAAATTCCACGGGACACCTCTATGACTTTCACGAAGATATTGGAAGCAGAACAAGATGGTCGACATAAAAAAGCCTCATAAACAAGCACAAAGAGAGCAGTCATATTTGATAATGAGTAGCCTAGGGCGTATATGAAGCCTAAATTTTCCTATAAAACAGATAATTGGGGAATTCTTGTGACTACACATAGAGAATAGACTAAGCTACAAGTTTTCTGAAGACACCAAGCATAAAAAGCTACATGACAGGTGATAAAACAACCTAAGAACATAGGGATGGGAGGCAGTAAATCTATTGACAGCAACTTCCAAAAAGCACAATTAAGTCCCAAAAATAATTAAATTTCCAGAATAACACCCAAGAACTTTCTTACTCTTCTATTTTCACCCCAAAATTAAGAAATCCACACACACAGAGCACAACAAACGACACATACAGCACCCGAATATTCGACCGAAATCAAAATCCAAAATTGCCGATATGACCCTATAGACAAGAGATTGTATACTGTAAGCTTCATAGAGTTCCAGTAGCCCGAATGTCGGGTACGGGTCGGAGGCCTGTGGCCGTTCGTGACCCCGTTCGAATCCTTCCAACACCCGTTCGTAAAATTGTTCAGGTATTTGGAATCTACGTATCAAGATGAACATGTTGAAGTACAAGTAATGAAGTTTACCTGCAAGTGGACAACAGTCATGGTTGTCGGTGGCGCACGACGGAGAGGGAAAGAAGAAGAAGAAAAAAAAAAGGAAAAAAAAAATAAGAAAGAGAAGGTGGAGATAATGCACAATAGTGGACTTGGAGTTGCTGGAGTTGATATGAATTTCACATTTTAAAGGAAATTGTCTCACACGCTGCACAATAATAATTTTATTGCATTTCAACCGTCCCTCTGCACTTATTATCAAATCCTAGCAAAATTTTATATGCACCTATACTTAACAATCAGCTTACAAATTTAAGTTGTTTACTTTTAGATAAGACCATAGGTTTTTAACCCAGACCGGCCTGGTGGGTCGACCTGGAGCCGGAACCGGTCTGGGTGGATTATTTGGACCGGGCAACAAAGGACCCGATCAAAATACGGCCAAACCGGTCTTGACCCGACCGACCCGGGACATTGACCCGGCTCATCCTCAGTTGTCTATCCAATTTCACTATGAGACGCACGAATAGCGGCGGCGTGGCGATTGGAACGAGGAGCTCAATCAAACGGCACGACTACGTATCTGATGACGACACTCGTCGACTACAACCTTGATGGAGGTGCGGTTCAACGGCTACGGTTTTAATCCGGTCCGATCAATCCGTGCTTCATTTGTGAGATTTTGATTTTTGGGATGTAGGCTTGAATAAAAGATGTGATCTTTTTTGTTTCTATACAATTGATACGTGAGGGTAATGTTGGAAGGGCCGGCGGTTCAGGCTCCAGTGCTACTAGCGGCTGTATCATTTTTTAAGGAGGCGCAATGTTGGAGCAACAACAAGAACAGTAGGAAAAGTACTGTAGCGACATATTTAGGGAATTTCGAATGGGTAGGTATGTTTCGTTTATAAACAATATGCTTTCTTTATATATTGCGTATTTTATATACACATACATTTTATGTAACTCCAATTATGATGTTTAAATTCCATTTATATTTATTGTTTATAACTTTTACTTAATGTTAAACAAATGACCTACAAATTATTGATATGTAAAACATGATATGAGTGCTCTTGAGGATGTAAAAAATATAAAAAATTGTTCTAGTTCACTACAACCAAAATTCAGTTTATATTTAGTTTATAAAATTGTAATCATTTATATAACAAGTCGTGCAACACACAAATGTGCGTAGAACATTGAAAAAATAAAAGTAAATAAAAATGACGACAATAAGCTAAAATCATGTGTATTTACAGTATATAAAACAAGTTCTAATCGTAATCATGTACAACCTGGATAGCAGACCCTTTTCGGATCTGAAAGAGATTGTTTTAGTTTTGTTGTTCTTTAGTGATTTTGTTCTCTTTTTTTTTTTTTAATTCCAATTTAAAAAAATGTTTATTTTTAGGAATCTATCTAGAACTTAATATTCAATCTACCTTTCCAGCGGCTCTCCACCTCCTCCGTCGTGGTTGATTTTTGGAGTCCATATCTGGATTGAGAATTGACTTTTCATTAAAACCATCTAGGCGGCGCGAGTTGCCCGAATTTATGGTTTTGAGGTTCTGGTTTGTCGCTTTGTTGGATCTTTGGGATGCTAGGAGTAACTTGTTTGCCAACTCGGGTGGTCATGCGTTATGTCTGCTAGGTGTAGGATAGGTTTTATTTTATTTATACATTATGTGTGTGTTTTTTTTTTTAAGTTTGTTAGTCCATTTTTGTCTGGCTCTATTGTCCTTTATGGAGTTCAAGTCTCTTTTATGGAGTTTGTGCTTTGTAATGCCGGTTGTCTCCTTCAAGGAATTGTACCCCTTGAATTCGTTGAAATTTCAAGAGAGTAAGTCCAGTTTTCCTGGTTCCTTAGTGTTAGTCGACACTCCATTTGTATTCTTTTGAGTTTTTCAGTTATTTAAGTGTTTGCCGTTTTGAAAAAAAAAATCTAACTTTCCATTTTTATTTGTTTTTTTATTTATGGAAAGAATTCCATAAGTCATGAAATCCTCCAAAGTAACTAGTAGGTATCATCTCTCTCATCCGTTACCTAAATGTAATACTAGTATTCGACCTTGTGCATTTTGCACACACGTAAATAAAGTATTATAAGTTATTTTGTATGCATATAATATTAAAAATACAAGTTAGATAACGATAGTATGTTTTAAAATTTGATCATTGGATAAAGTAAATGGTACATAACTATTCAATTGAATATGAATCACTATAATGATTGTATAAAATGTATAAATAAGGTAATTATTATAATTTGAGGCATCATAACCAATCAATTAGCTAATAAAATATTAGATTTAATATTAATGTGATTTTAAGGTATTTTACTATGACATTAAAACAAAATAATTTATTTAAACAAAATTGCTTAATGATATAAAAAAAACTATAATATCGATTTTAAAATAATTAACTTGAGAAAAACATTTACAATATAATATATATATATATATACTGGCAGGGCATTTAATAAAACCCTCAGCATTTTCCCGCCCAAATGCATTTACAGCTCAATGTGGTAAGTTTTTATTTTTTTTTTTTCCGGAACGATAGAGATAATATATAAAAGCACAAAAGTGCAAAAGGAACAAAGTACAAGACCCCAACAGGGTAATTTAAAGGCCCCAACAGGGTAATGAGACAAGGGCCAACGGCCCAAATAAAAAACACACCTAAAAACAAACAGGAATAAAGACTGAGAGGACACGCACTAGGCGGCCTAGAGAACCCCAGAAACGAAAATAAAACGAAAATAAAAATCAGAACCACTGCACAATGCCTAGCCTAACTTCATTTCCGAACCAAACCAAAAAACGGATATGAGACGCAAACAACACGAACTAGACTACACACCAAGATCAAACACAAAGCAAAACGAGATTAAACAAAACAAACACCTACGAGAGCCCATCCCACAGCACAAAGCCACACCGAGTACAACCGTGGCAGAGTCGAGCCCAAAATCCCGAACCAGAAGCAGCAGAGACGCCTTACTGAATCGAGGATCCACGGGTTGGCCCAACCCTCGTCCAGACGAACAAACCCCACCGTCACCCGGAGAAACGACCTCCAGCCAATCAGACAGAAACACAGCCCGGCAGTTACCGACGACAATACCGACAACCACACCTCAAACCATAGCCCCGACCCAACAAACGCCGATGGCCCCCCCACCTACACTCAGCATCATACCTGCAGATGCCAACTCCCCAAGGCTCGAGCAGAGCAGCTCAGCCATACAACCCAAAAATAGCAGGCATCCACACCACCAAATCATACTTGAAGACGCCGGCGACCACTGAAAAAGGACGGGGTGGAGAAAGGGATCCGGATGAAGCAATTGACCGGATCCCTTTCTCCACCCCAAACCCTAACTCAGATTTTGGGGTCGCAGCCCCCTCCAAGAGAGCACCGGAGGGCCACCGAAATGGACAATACCGGAGGAGAACCGACCACCCCGCACCTCACGTCTGACACCAAAGATGGACGCCGGAACAACAGGGACGACCGACTCCCCGGCGAAAAAGCTCCCCCTCCCCCGTGCGACACTACTCTCGGAAAAGGCTGCGAGGCTTAGGGGAGCCACCACCTGCACACGCCGCGCCCAACTGGGGAAGGCGACGGTAGATCGATGGAGCCCGCGCGAGAGATAGGATAAGGCGACGAGAATCAGCGAGATTTTTTATCTTTTCCTACTATCTCATCCTTTCGGTAAGTTTTTATTACTTTATCAATAAGGTAACATTTTTATTGTTATTACTAATTGTTATTAAATATTATAGCATTTTTGTATTTGTTTGTTATACATAGTAGCATCTTCTTGATTTTTCAAAGCGTTTCCATCTTTTATTTTTTTTTTATTATTTTTTTTTTTGTAACCTCTATTAAAAAGAAATTAAAATTGAAAAAATAATAATAATATTCTTAACAAATTAAATTAAATTTTTTATAATTTTAATATTATATGCACACAAATAACTTATAATATTTTATTTATATCTGTGCAAATGCACATGATCATATACTAGTTTTTTTTATGACAAATGTATTTTCCCCATGCTTTAAAAATCATTGCATAATCAGTACACTAACATTCAAACAATGTTTTGAAACTGGCCCGGAGATTGAACTGGTCTCCGTATCACTGATCAATTATTGAAATAGGTAATTAATAAGATTGATGTGTTCGTTGTGATACTTCACAATAATCCCCTTAAATAATTTATTTTCTAAATCCAATTCAAACATCTTGTAGTGTTGCTTGTGGCCATCAGATACCATTGATATATTCATTAAAATCAGTGTTGGAAACCCATTGGGACAAAATTCAACCAAGAAAAAAAAAAGTACAAAGCGTGTTCCATACATATTTCATTCATCATAATGTTTATTCATGATTTGTACGAATATCATATAGATTATCTATTACTCACTAGTTTCCAGCTACTGATGGTATCATATCATGCCTTATGCAACTTTCAGTCTCAAACTCATTGTCATTATACAAAAAATCTCTTATACACAGTTCATAATATTTGAATAGCAATTGCCTTATCAAATATCTTGATTAGGGAAAACCATATGGGACAAAAAACCTCAATCAAGATAACAATCTTTCATTATATGCTCTAATAATATCTCCATAGAATCTTATATATTCCGACTTCAATTCTTTACCAAAATCTCAGAACTATTCTTTTATATCAATATATATTTCCACAATGATAATATAGATAAATTTCAATATCCTTAAGATTAATTGACTTCAATATTCTCAGCTGTTTTGGATCTCGCTACTATCATTTATAATGTTATACGGTTATGTGGCATCACTGAAAAAAGCGAGCTCCAGTATTATGCAGCTTGGGCAATGTGGAAAACTTTGTTGGGATCGAATGATTTGCTGGAAACCGCCGGGACTGGAGTGGATAAAGTGTAATTCGGATAGCGCTTTCAACTCTTCTACAGGTATGGCAAGTGCGGGTAGTTTGCTTC